TTATCTAACCAACTAAGGTTGACTGAGCATTTATTCCATCCACTGTAGAACTGGGTTAGAGAATGTGAATAAGAGATCCAAAGTCAGGTTGGGGCAGAAAGACTGTGACTATTTAACAGCTATGAGAATGAATTCTTTTTGTCTTATATGTATGTAGGTATAGTTTCTATTCTATATCTACCTAATGTATTTCATGTTATAGCTTGACTACGAATGTGACTTTTTTACAAATATGCCTCAAGAATATCAGACCCAGAGAAGGAATACAATGACTTTTAAAACAGCATTGTGTCTTCAGAACTAACGGAAAGAACTGTCTTGAGCCAGACAGCTGCAGGTTTTTGCTGAGTTCTGTGGTTGGTAATGCTGTGTCGTCCTGGGCCAGTTATTCAGTCTCCCAGTCTCCACTTTGCTCATCTGTAAGGTGGGATCACATGTAAGGTGGGATCACGTGGCCACCACAGACAATGGAGCCACACAGCCAGGGTTCACATTTTGGATACGTAATTGACTCCTCATGTTATGCTGGGAAAAGCACTGTGCCCCTTTTACTCTTTGCTGAAATTAGGTTATTAAGAGAACCTACTTATTAAAGTCTATAATCATATATTAATTAACATATTGTATATATTTAAAGTGCTTAAATCTATTCCTGGTACAGAGATTGCTTTATATACAAGGTCTATTCTGGGAAAGGGATTTTTCTTCAAGGAAAAAAAATTTATGTTAAAACTTGAGGAGCTCTGACCTGAATATGACTTTCTTTTTGAAAGTTTGTTCTGATGAACAATTTGAATAAATTTTGTGCTGTATAATTGAAAGATGGGAATCTTAATAGAAAGATGAGAATCTAAAGAGTTGGAAACTAAGATCTTTTCTCAATTATAAAAGTGGTTTATATTTTTAGGAAGATGATAAAGAAGAAGAAAGTTGTTATGTTTTACATTCAAGTAATAATGAAAGCAAGACTGAATTTCCAAGAATAATTCATGATATAAATTCATCTTTAATACTCGAAGCACCAAAGGTACTTAGTACATTTATTTCCCGTTTGAATGATTTGCTATGAGCTAAAATTTCTGTGAAGAAGACAAAAGCCTGTTCCTATCCCTTGACTAAATAGATATAAATAAAATGATCTCCTTCTCTTATTATTTTTTTAACTTAAATATTTCCTTCCTGTATCATATTACCTCTCTAACTGATGCAGGCAATAGGTAAAGCATTTTCAAAGAACAAATATACCTTATTTTGTATCACTAATATAGTCCTAAAATTTGGAGTAGTAGAACATATTGTTGAATATAGACCTGCTGTTTGTTTTTTTTTGTCAGAGTCTCACTCTGTTGCCCAGACTGGAGTGCAGTGGCTGCTCCCGGCCACTGCAGCCTCGATCTGCTGGGCTCAGGCGATCCTTCCGCCTCTGCCTTCCAAGTAGCTGGAACCACAGACGCTAATCATTGTGTTTTTTTTTTAATGGAGACAAGGTCTTATTACGTTGCCCAGGCTTGTCTTGAACTTCTGTACTCAAGTGATCCTGTTGCCTCAGCCTCCCAAAGTGCTGAGATTACAGGTGTGAGCCACTGTGCCTGGCTTAGACCTGCATTTAAAATGATGTAGCAAATATACTCTAGAAAATAAATTCATATTGAATTATTTCTTAAAAAAAGAGTTTTTAGTCAAGCCCTATTTTGTGCTTTAATTTTAGAAAATGTATTTTGAAGTTTTTCCTATTTTATTCTTAAAAGGAATTATGCTTACGCTGCTCTTTGCAGTCAGATCATGATTTTGCTTTAGTTGATCACAACTGCTGAGTGATGTTCTTTGCATAATATGTTGACAGTGTCATGAACTGATGTGCATTCCTGTTATACCCGTTATACTTTTTAGTGTAGATGTTTTTGTTTAAAATTTTGCAATCAAGCCGGGCTCGGTGGCTTAGCCTGTAATACTGTGCCTTGGGAGGTTGAGGTGAGTGGATTGCCTGATCCTGCGAGTTTGAGACCTGCCTGGGAAACTTGGTGAGACCTCATCTCTACAATAAATAAAAAAATTAGCCGGGTGTGGTA